AATGGATTAATTAAAAAAAAAATCTAATGAATTGATAATAAAGATGTGACACTGATGATTGACAGGTTGATGATGGACTCTGTCTGTAAACGGTTCTGATATTGATCTGTGCTTTTCTGGTAAACAGGTAAAACATTCACCTCAGGAACTTCTTTTAGATGCAATCACATCACTGTCTACGAGCAGACTTGTTCTACAGCTTAAAAAACATAAATATCAGCGTTAAAAAATCATCAGTCAAACTTTAGTTGATTCATTTTTCTATGACTTACTTGTTGTTGTTCTGTGTTCACAGAGGCCGGGCCGTCTGGATCCAAACTCCAACCAGGGTAAAGACGTCTTAGAAAAATTGTGACGTTGTGATTTGAGTTACAATACTCCAATAAAGAAGTATTTTTGCTATGCTAATACATTTTTATGTTTGAGTCCAAATGTCATGACTTCTTAGGGTTTACTGTAGAAACGCACAAAGCAACACACATTTCCCCTTTATCAAGTTTTATTAAAGCTATCATGAAATGTGCTTTGTCCATGAAACATTTTAAAATGACTTTGAAGTCTGAAAGTTCATAATATGTAAATCTAGTCATCATCACAACTTCAGGTTTTACAGTTAAGGCTTAAAATAAAAGGACATTTATTGTGAAAAACTTGCGTGAAGTTGCCAAGTATTAGTAGAAGCTTTATGCACGTTAGCCTATTGCTGCAGATGGAGAGCAGAGAAAGAAAACTGTATTTAAAATGCATTAAGATGTCTGACTGACACTGGATTTGTGTTCTCGCTTGTTTGCTTTCTTTCAGAGATGTCATTGATCTGCGGGATGATGATGATGATGATGAAGAGGAGGACAAGACGGAGGAGGGCGGGGTTTCAGCGTTCAGGATCAGTAACTCTCCCATAAGATCCTTTACTCCGATCTCGGAGGCCACTGACTGCCTTATTGACTTCAAAAAACAGCAGCGAGTCAAGAAGCTGCGCCAAAGACGAAGATGAGGATGACCTCCTGCAGACTGGTGGTGCTGACCGAAAATACTGGAAACCAGAGCCTTAACTAAAGACCCACTGAATCATCAGGTTGAAGGTGACATTACATTTAGAAAAGACTTGTTGTAAACTCAACAGCACCTTCCTGATGTCATATTTATGCAGGTCACATTTACAAATGGAGCACTTGAATGTTCATTCTGACTGTTTTTGTGCCACTAAATGTTTGTTTGTTTATGTTGATGTTTCAGACTACCTCTTTATGTATTGAAACGTTTCCTTTTTGTTACTTTGTTTTAATGTCTCTCGAACAGTATGATTACAACACCGTGTCAAACAACAAACAACATTTTACTGGCCTTTAACTTGAAATAAGAGAAGTCAAGGTATTGTTTGTATTCATGCTAACAGTGAGTCACTCCGCTCACCACCTAGGTCGGAAATATTTCAACAACTTTTGGATGGATTGCAAAGAAATCTTGTAAAAACATTCATGTCCTCCACAAGATCAATTCTACTGACTTTGGTGATTGTCTGATGTTTCATTTCGTGCCCCCTGCAGAAGTCAAACAACTGCAACATTCTACACATTAGCATGCAAGTGTTAGCATGTGTTACACGAGGCATGCTAGCAGTAACAGTTAGTTTCATTGTCATGTCATCTGCTGAAGAAAGTTGTCATTTCCTAGAGGCCTAAGTGACATTTCAAAACCCACTTTTACCCAACAAGTCCCCAACCCAAAGATTCATAAAACATAACAATCATATGACGAAGAACAGCAGAAAACTCTCACATTTGAGTATCTAGAACCAGTGAAAGTGTCACATCTTTGCTTAAAAAATTACAAGCAATTATAAAAAGAAGTACCAACCGATTTTCTGCTAGTAATCTGATTATTTAGCTGACAAATTGTTTCAGCTTTATAAATGAGCAGGACACAGCTGCGCAGGTTGTACGTCCGTTTACAGAAATGATTTCATCAGTTGACATCAGACTGAATTAAATCTGATATCAGGCTAGCTAAATGTAAACATGCTAACATACAAAAGTCAGATCTTCACACACCTTAACATGTTACCTGTAGCTGTGATAGCATGTGTTAGCTAACATGCCAACTCAAAGCACAGCTGACAAACTAATCCCAAAATGGCCACCGTACAGAGGACATGCCTGTTTTTTTAGGTGACAACATGGCCTTTCTTCTGGCCCCACCCTTTGGACAAACATTACATTTTTTCTACCATACAGTTTTTAGTTTTTGGTCTGCTTGTGAGCTTTTAAAAACTACAATTAGATTCCCGTATTACTAAGATCAAACGCGAACAACAGTGGAAAGATGGAGAGCCCACAAAGCACTGACAGTATCCTGTTGAGAAGAAATGACATCGGTCTGTTCTCTGTTCAATGCACAGCTCTAGTTGGATCAGAGAAAAATCTAAAAGCTTAAAATGTAAAATCTTAAGATCTGATACAGTCACAATGTCCATTTTCATCTTTTGTCTTGTTTCCCGTCAAAAGCTAACCTTTATTAACACATTAAACAGGACTGAAAACCATTTCCTGTAAGACCCTATGTCACCTGTTCGCACTCCGACTCCAGCCAGTAGGATATTGAAGGAAGTGCAGTGCAGTGAAGGTCTGAAAACACTTTCTCCTTTAAGATCAGACACGGATTTGTCCCATTGAAATGTTTTTGGGGAATCAGTTTCTAACTGCGAAGATCAAATTTGCTCTTGAGCAGCTCAAAAATGTTAAATAATTTTGTGTCAGTTCAGATCAGCTTTCTTTCTCTTGTGGACCGTTCTTATCACCCAAAAATATTTCCTGCAAAGTTGATAGAGATACAGTTGACTTACTGTTCTATCAGAGTGTCGGCCTTGGATACTGTATCAGCACTTTAGAATTAAATTTGCAAGTTGTTTGACTTGGTGTGACAAAGCAGAAGTAAACTGTAGCACACTGAACACATAGATACAAGATATACAGGTGATGTGGCATGATATGTTTGCAACAGGTGAAACAATTCTCTTTTTTTAAAATTCGTCCTTGACAAAATCTTTTTTCAAACAGATGCAGTGTTCGTTGAATCCTTTGTGTCAGTGTGTGACGGGCTGCCATCGTTACATTTTATTTGTATTTCCTGTGAGGGTTTGATGCAACACAGCAACGTGGAGACTGTTTTGTAAGACTCTGTCACAATGTTCGGTTGCACCAACCGGGCTGAAGTTTAGGAGGCAAAAACTATTACTTAAGGATGAAAACTGTATTTCTACATAACAAGGCCAAAAGTACATGCACACTGTATGTGCAAGTTAAACATGTCACTCTGACACCATGGGCATTAATGTGCTGCTGTAACATCAGTGGCGGAGGAAGTATTCAGATCCTTAAGTAATACAAAACTGTAAAAATTACTCATGCATTAATGTAAAGGCAGGATTTTACTGTTGTAGCTGGCTGAATTGGAGCTGATTTTGAAGTATTAACTTGTGATTACTTTGATTTTATATTAATCTGCTGATTGTTTTATACATTAATTGAATGTTTGGTTTGTAAAAACCCACAAAATAGTGAGACATGTTGTCACCCAGAGCCCAAAGTGACACCTTCACAAAGTTGTTGTCGAAGCACCAGACCATACCTCAAAATTATTAAAGATAAATTGAAATTATTAAATTGATGGACACAAGCATTCATTCACATTCTCGTTTGCATGTCGTTTCTGGAAAACTGCTTAAAATTTGCACCAAATTTGGTTTGAAATTTGGCTGTGGCATTAATATTTGCCTGCACTGGAACTAAAAGACAGTGAAGATCTGAAATTGTCAAAAAGCAGGTTGTCAGACAGTAAAAAATATAACTAAATACAATAAATAATACAGATATTTAAATCATTAAAATGGAGTGTTAAAGAAAATATGAAGCCCTCTGCAGGTGGAGTTGATGTTCAAATTTGGGCACTTGGAGGACTTCATCCATGTCGACTTGTTTTAAGTATTATAGGCTGCATGTACTCAAAGTATCAATAGTAAAAGTACAGAAGTATCATGAGCGTGTAGTTAAAGTATGAGCAGTAAAAGCCTAAGAGACATTGCTCTAATCCCTGAACAGGAAAAACTGCCACAACCTCTCAGTTTCAGGCTAAGATCAGATCCATTGAGTACTCTGTGTACTGCAGCACTTAAGTACTGGACCATTGAACTATACTAGAGTTTGTTAGCACAAGGTTTAAAATGACAAGTGAAGTGTTTGCACCTCCACTTCACACAAAGAAATGGCATTGGTAGGAGAAATACTCAGGTCTTTCTGAGATAATTGTACAATGTAGAAATACTGTTACAGGTTAAAGTCCTGCATTTAAAATTCTACTTGTGCGCAAGTCACACTGGGGATTCAAAAAGTTTAATCTGCACCTGCAATAATACATCATAATTCATTTGTATATATAATCTACATTATAACAATGACTAAAGTAACTAAAGCTGTCAAATACATGTAATGCGGTCAAAAACAGAATATTTGCCTCTGAAATATTGTGAAGTAGAAGTATAAAGTGGCGCGCAAAGGAAAGCCTTAAGCACCCTTAAAATTTGTACTTGAGTAAATATACTTAATTACATTACACCACTGTCATATACTGTAGTTTTGTGAAGAAAGTCGCAGCTCTAACTGAATTCTAAAGCAGCGATATTGACACCGAATTTAAGTTGGATGTATTTTGGGGTGAAGTGATCCCTCTCATGCGCCTTTACGCGCAGGGAGACACCTGCTGCTGCAAACTGCACGAGCTCTCCCTCAGCTTCATTTGGACTAAATCACAACAACAACACGGTGTCCTCTCGGTGAAGCTCGGCTGTGGATGTTAGAGTCGGTTCGATCAGCTGTTTGGATCTGTGCCGCCGCGCGTAAAACATGAGTGCCGCACCCCGACATCCACCATCTGTCAGCTTAGACTACAAGACGCGCGCCTCACCGGTGTTGCGACACGAATCCTTCAGATGGAGTGGGTGTAAACACAAACTGAGCTCTCACACTCTTTTCTTATTCACTAAGGAAGTTGACTCGTGTCAGGTCGAGCGGAGCAGCGCGGGACGCAAAGGTGAGTTACTATACTTCACTGTTTGTGCTTCTTCGGTGTGCAAAGATAACAACTTGTCTTTACATGTGAGATGAGCTGTTAAGAGAGAGGTAAGAGGGAGGAAGGCAGCTGTTCGATCAGCAAACACGTCCATGTAAATACAGCCTAAGCTCATGAAATCACCAGAGGTGTGGAGGATTTACTGTCCTGTCTTTATTTAGTTTTCAAAGTTAAGTTGTTGCTCATTGAAAACTCTCATTACTTTCTTTAAATGTTGAACAGCAGCTCTGCAAATCAGCTCCATCTCACCTGAGACCCTTTGCTGCCTTTTAAATTACCCTCCTGAGCCCCAGTTTTGAAACCTTTAGCTGTATTTCCTTCTGTATGATTGTATCTTTTATTGGCCTTTTATTAACAGCTCATGATCAAACTGTCTATGATGTGTGTTTCTGGTGCCTTCAGAAACCTGAAATGCTCCTTCAAAGTTTATTAAAGTGGCTCAGTTTTTTGGCTTCTCTCCCAGTGACAAGCTACACTGTGTGTCAGGTTACAGATGAGATTTTGGATAAACTTTACATGTGATAATCTCGTCAATTCAAGTTATTTTAAAGCTGAAATTTCACCTCTCAGCTGTGGGAGAAAAGAAAAGAAAGCTGAACTGTCTAACGTTCTGTTCCTGCTCAGGTGAAACTGTGACAGGGCGTGTCCGACCTTCATAAACTGCATCCTGTTGGAAGAAAAGTGAGTGTTACAGATGTTTAATTATGCTGGCAGGGGCTGTGGCAGATACTCAAGTGTGACATGAACTTCTGTCTGTGGCATCTTATTGGTTGAAGTAAACTTTAAGAGGCAGAGACAAAGGTCCACTGTGTTTCCTGTTATATGAGCTGAAGGAGACACTCCGCCCAAAACACAACATAAACTTAATCCAGAGTGTTGTCATCTGATGGAGCTTCCCCTGATGTTGCAGATGTCACAACATTTGTGGTTTGTGTTCAGGGTGTCTTCAGTGGTTTAGTGACCTGAGTGATGCTGAAACAAGTACAGTCATTATAGGTGTAGTAGGACTAGTAGAAGTACTTTAACTTTTACTTTAGTAAAGACAGTGTAGAAGTAATAGCAACGAAATGAGCTTAAAGTAAGTTAAACTGCCCATTATGCAGAATGGCCCCTGTCAATTTTATATTATTGGATAATTATCATTAATGTCTAGATTTTGGATTGGACATAGGTGAAAGATCCACCTCAACATTTAGAACATGTGTGTTTGTCCTTCCCAATAAACCCAAGTAACAGAGGACTTTACTTCGACTAAATTAAAGACATTCACACCATAATTTGACGCAGAAAAAAACTCATATTGGAGCATAAAAATTCACCTGAATGCTGGAAATTAAGTGTTTAATGCTCAAATTTCTGGCCCAGGACTCCCAAACCTCACAGTTTATAATATACCAATACTTATTTACCTAAAAGTTGATTAAATGTGTATCTGACACATTGAAAAACAGCTGTGGCAACTAAATCTGGATGATAGTGGAGTTTGTGGTCGGTAAAACCAAACTAACACGCTGAGCAAAGCAAAATCAACACCTTTGACACACTGTCAACACTGTGAAGAATTTGTATTAGTGTGGCTTTAAAGCTGTCAGCAGAGGTTAGAGGATGTTTTCTATTTGACAGATTGTAAATATATATTCTAACACAGGCCCCTTATAGTCGTGGTGGCTGCAATGACTGATAAATTTCCTTATTTGAAAGACACCAGTGTCCTCACATAAGCTTGTAAAGAGTGAAGGAATGGTTCTGCACATGAAAACAATATAAAAGAGTGACTGGATCACCATCGCTGTGGGCCTGATGGATGATCGGTGTCCTCAACCAAATGTAACACACACAAATTATCAACTGCATGTGCTTGCAGAGCAGCTGTTGGCTAGACAAATATTTATTTTTTAATGCGACTAGCAGCACTATAGCTCGCTTTCTCGCTCCTCAAAAACTCCCCTACACTTTAGGTTTTGTCCTGGGAGGCTGGAATTTGACATGGAGGTCAGAGCTGTTGCCAATTTGTAATTTTTGTTATTACATTTTAGATAATTTCCACTGATTTATGTGAGTAAAACTCTATTTCTCAAAGCCCACTGAATGAATTTTAAATTTTTACTTATTTACATAGTTGTAGTCTTAAAAGGATAGTACACTCAAAAATGAAAATTCAGCCATTATCTACTCACCCATATGCCGAGGGAGGCTGAGGTGAAGTTTTAGAGTCCTCACATCACTTGCAGAGATCCAAGGGGAGAGGAGGTAGCAACACAACTCCACCTAATGGAGGCTGACAGCGCCCCAGATTCAAACGTCCAAGAACACATAATTGAAACCACAAAATATCTCCATACTGCTCGTCCGTAGTGATCCAAGTGTCCTGAAGCCCCGACATAAAAAAAAGCACATGAACACAAATGAATGAGGTGCCCATGTCTCACGGTCTCAAGCACATGTGAGCTCATAGTATGGAGATATTTTGTGGTTTCAATTATGTGTTTTTGGACGTTTGAATCTGGGGCGCCGTCAGCCTCCATTAGGTGGAGTTGTGTTGCTACCTCCTCTCCCCTTGGATCTCTGCAAGTGATGTGAGGACTCTGAAACTTCACTTGAGCCTCCCTCGGCATATGGGTGAGTAGATAATGGCTGAATTTTCATTTTTGGGTGCACTATCCCTTTAATTCAGACTCTTTATTCAGCTAATTCCGTGTTGATTAGATTATTAAAGTTCAGGAGTTCAACGGCCGGAGGTGGAAGTAGTTGCCGTCAGTCAACAAGTGCACTCTCCAATGTGACTCCAAAGATCGAGGTCATATGACAGTGCAGTTCCCACAATAGTAACTCATGTAAAATACATACATTAGCATGATGATATTCTCTGGTCACAGCTCCCTCTCTTTTCATGCCTAACCGCCGTGTTATGTTGACACACTAGTTGGATGCACTAATGTGTGAACTTGATTTTGGCTTGTATTTGTATTTGTTAGATATATGACAGTGTCCTGGGATCAGTCAGATGATGAACAGCAGGTGGAAGTGAAATAAGAAATTGTTCCCCTTTTATATGTAACTTATTACTGTTTGTTCACTTTATACTGTGAGGCCACATGATCTTGGACAAAAAAGGATTCTGGGATATTTGTTTACTGCAACTAGTGATTAGGGATTGATGAGGAAATATGACGGCATGTAAGTGCACCATTTCCGCTGACTTTTAAACTCCCATGCATCTAAAACATCTAAAAGGAAGACTTAAATTATCAAAGATGAAGAAATAAATTCAGGTGGCCTTAAGGGTGTCATTTTTATAGTTTCAGTTTGATTTATTCACAGAGAGATCCCCAAACAGTGTCCTCTTACTTCCTCTTACCATCCAGCTGCCAAGTAAGTCCTCTAAAAAGATGCCAGAACCAATCATATATTAAAGTAATGCAGTACAAGACTTCTAGTGAAAATAGAAATAAAACAAATTGACGTCCTGATGCACTAGAGGAAATGTCAGAGGATCACCAAAGTAAGTAGGATTCATCGTCTTGGAATCATGACTGTTTGTTGCAAATTTCGCCAATCACCAGAAGTGAAAAGCTAACATTAAACAAACTGCATTATAGTCACGTGAATTAAAATCCCCACCACAACGAGGCTGTAAAGCCATGGTTGGTGTGATGACATTTTGTAGTCTCATTTAACCACTTATAGCAACCGCCTTTTTTAAGACACAGAAAAGCTTCACAAGTCATGGGTGGCGTATTTGCTGACATATTCTATATCGTGGAACAAAACGTGAAAATAATAATGTATAGTTTAATAATTTATTGTCTCCTTGCTTCTTCTCAAGTCAGTTGGCTAATATTTAGCAGAAAGGTTACATCTCCTGAGCTTTGACCGTCAGCTGACCGTTGAATGCTCACAAAATATATTTTAAATTTTGCCAGCAATTTATCACACAGGATCGAATATCAGTTTGAACATCAACACAAAACTCTGTCATGTTTCACTTTTAAAGTGAAACTCTCATCGAGTGCGAGGCATCATACTCTGAAAGCCACGCCCACCAGAGGGGAAAACTGTCTGCGCCACAATGTGAAACTGAGGGCTGAAACGCTAACAAAATGCCTGTAGCTCACTAAAAACATTAGATACCAGCATGTCAAATGTGCTTTAGTGTTTAGTGCTGATTAGCAGCATACATGTTAGCATGCTAACACTAACATAACATGGTGAACATGGTCAACAGTATTCCTGCTAAACATCAGCATGTTTGCATTGTCATTGTGACTGTGTTAGCATGCTGATTTAGCATTTAGTTCATTTAGTAGGCTACGTCTTACATAGCAGCGAGCATGGCTGCAGACTTAGTCTTGTTCAAATGTGATAATTTAACTCCCACCAAAATTACCTCACCTGTAATGCATTAAGGTGGTGACTATTCACATAGCTTTATCAATCAATCAATCAAACTTTATTTGTATAGCACTTTTCATACATTAAAAATGCAGCACAAAGTGCTTCACAGAATAAAAACAAACAAAAATAATACATACATATTGAAAACCTGCCCCTCCCACCCCCACATATAAACACACACACACACACACACACACACACACAGTCAATATAGTCAATAACATGGCTGGGCACTGAGGAACCAGGTGAGGAAAGAACCACCTATGGGGAGCCATCCACACCAAGAGGCGCCACAGCCCACGGCCACAGGGAACGCCGCCACAGAGACCACCCCGACCAGACAGACCGGGGTGGACTCCACACATGGTGTGGAGATTAGGAAAAATTAAAGAGTTAAAGATAAAAATAATATTAATAATAATAATAAATAAATAAATAAATTAAGATTTAGAGACTAAAATGCATAAAGATTTAAAAATAAATCATTTAAAAGCATTAGAAAGTAAAAAGAACATATAATAGAAGAATTAAAAGAGTAAAAGAAATCAGTTAAAAGCTAAATTAAAAAGGTGAGTCTTGAGCCTCCTTTTAAAAACATCAACAGTCTCTCCCATGGGTTTTTGTTCTAACACTTGGAACAATTAAAAGGCCGGTGCCGGAGGACCTCAGGATCCGCGAGGGTTGATATGATAAAAGCAGGTCAGATAAATAAGATGGCCCAAGACTGTTAAGACATTTAAAAACTAATAAAAGAACCTTAAAATCGATCCTGAAACACACGGGGAGCCAATGCAGCGATTTTAAAATTGGTGTAATGTGCGCCCGCCCTCTGGTCCTCGTCAGCACTCATGCGGCTGAGTTTTGAAGTAGTTGTAGATTGGAGATGGTCTTTTTGGGAAGACCAGACAGCAGGGCATTACAATAGTCTAAACGACAAGAGATAAAAGCATGCATCAGCACCTCCGTGTTAGCCTGAGAGAGAAACGGGCGGACTCTGGCTATATTCTTAAGATGATAAAAACCTGTCTTTGTTACATTTTTGATGTGTGGAATAAAACTAAGCTCAGAGTGAAAAATGACGCCCAGGTTCTTTACACATTGTGAAGGTTTAAAATCTTGTAGTTTTGGTAAAAGTTTCTCTCTCTGGCCTTCAGGACCAATAATTAAAACCTCTATTTTGTCCTGGTTGAGCTGTAGGAAATTCACTGCCATCCATGACTTGATATCTAAAATGCAGTTAAAAAGGGTATCAATTGGCCCTGTGTCATCAGGAGACACGGCAATGTACAGCTGTGTGTCATCTGCATAACTATGGAAGCTGATGCCGTGCCTCTTGATGATGCTACTACATTAGACTATAGCTGTGTTTTGCAATATGGGTGAACTTACCCTTTAACTTTTTCTGTCCAGATGAGCACCACAGAGGCAAACGGCGAGTACAACACACAGATTTCCAAGAAGGCCAAAATGGGCAGAGACAATTCTACCCTGCACCACGGCATCCCTCCAGAGACGCTCAGTAAGGTACGTGTCACCTGAGGAGAAAACATGTTTGTCGTTGTTTGTTTGAATTCTGCCAACAAGCAGCACAGATGACAATGTTAGCTCAGACACCACAGCATGAAGTGTCACTGCAGCGATGCAAACCGGCCCTTTGATTCATGAGTTTTTAAATTGGGCAACATATGCCAAACACAAAGACAAAAAGTAAGCATACTTCTTCTTCTTTATTATTTTTTTATACAGTAAACAACAACATAAACAAATCCAGGCTTTACTGGGGAAAAAATCATATAAACATACATCAAAATAAAATTCAAAAAGAAAAGTAAAGATGTAAAAAAAAAAAACGGGCGAGCTCTGTTACAAGGCAGTGCAGCAAAGCAACTACATTCTACATTTACTCATGTTTGTACTTAAGTATAATTTTGAGGTACTTGTACTCTACTTTAGTATTTCCATGTTATGCTAATTTATACTTCTACTTCACTACATTTATCTGACTGCTACAGTTACTTTGAAGAGCAGGGTTTTACATATAAAGAATAATGACAATGAATTGTAGTAGATGAAACAATAACCATATAAAAAATAGTCAAAATTAGCTTCACATTAATGCTGCATGTGTAATTATAATCCAATGATATGATGTCACAGTGTCATTATGCTGCCTAATAAGTACTTTTACTTACATACATTTTGTTGATAGTTGTTTTGTACTTTTACTAAAGTAAGATTTTGATTGCAAAACTTTTACTTAGTGGAGCACCTTTACCCTGAGGTACTGCTACATTACTTTAGTACACTGAATACCTCTTTTATTGCTGACCAAAGGTTATGCACAAAAACTATAATTCAAATACAGACAGCTGTTGGCATACAGCCTTTATACACAGCCACATATGAAGACGTGATTTTACCCACGTTGACTGAGAAGAAACAAAAATAAAAACCCATTGCCTACAAAGAACTGTGTCACCAACTCGTGGAAATCTGGCTGTCACAGTGACTGCATCAGTGTGATTGTGTAAAAAGTTAATCGTAACGTCATTCATAACATTCTGGCTCTGTGATTTAAGCCTTGTTACTCACGATGGGAGGAAACAGTCGGCTGTAGTAAGTCAATGCTGCTGCTGCTGGGAGGATACTGAGATTAGGAAATCCCGGTGTTTGTATCAGTGTGATTCAGACGGGAGGTTCAGTCACAGGATCATTCAGTGATAGATGAACAGTAGCAAAGACATTTTATACCTTCATTTTGCAATAGAGGACTTCCAGTTTTCAGTTTTATGATCGCAAGTTCACATATTTTTGGACAAGTGCAAGAGTCACACTAAACACTCCTCTTTCCTAGAAAACCTCCTGCAGATTTTTCTGAGTCAACCATGAACCCTGAAGTACATTTACTCAACTACTCTCCTGAAATACAATGTTGGCGTACTTGCACTTTACTCTATTATTTTTATTTTCTGCTACCCTATAGATATACTCCACTGCAGCTCAGAGGCAAATATGATTAGTTTTAATTCACTACATTTATTTCAGATGATAATGCAAAGTATAATCAACAAATACATGATGATATTATGCGTGTAAATAGATTTAACTTAGCCCCGTATTTACCAGCTGCAATATCAGAATGATGTACACACTGACACATCAGTACTCATTATCCAATATTTTAATATTAGCATTGTGACGTGAACCATTCAGCATGTTATATACTTTAGATTTTGATGCCAATACTTATGAGTAAAGGTAGTGGTAGAAAGTAACAAAGTAAATTTGCTCAAGTACTAATGTATAATTCTGAGGTACCTTTAATTCGACTTTCTACTTTCACTCCGCTACATTTTGGAGGCAAATATAGTACTTTATACTCCACTACATTTATCTGACAGCTGTAGTTACTTTGAAGATAAGAATATATATGCTCGGTTTACAGAATATTAAGCATTATTGACTGATTGTATTGTAGATGAACTATTGTGAAGTAACTCTACTTACACAGTGTATAGAAATATAATCCACTTATACAAAATTCATACATCATACTTCATACATTTTGCTGCTAGTCAAATTTTAAATGCAGAGCTTTTACTTTTAATAGTATTTCTGCACTGTTGTATTGCTACCTTCACATAAGTAAAAGATCTGAGTACCTGTTCCACCACTGGTTTATAATTACTGTGCATGTTTGTACAGTGATCTTTTGAATGTAACAGGTTGGCCCAAGCCACTATAATGTATGCATTTGCTCAGCCCTTTAGAGTCATGGTGAAGGAATGAAGTTAGTCACGGCTTCATTTAGGTAACGACTGCAACAAGCATGTAAGGACATGAGACAAAGAATAAGAGATGATCATGTGAGAGACGGGGGTGAAGAAAGAGTTTAATGCTACAGAGTAAGAGCGAGATGAGGCCTGAACAAACACGCCCCTGGAAAATTACTGTAAGTCATTGAAAGAAGAAAAACAGACAGCGTGGAGTAATGTGCACTACACTTTATTTACACTGACTGTTAGTTTCTGCAGAGAGGCTTCTGGTCCTGGTGCTGGTGCTGGAACCAGGTTCAGTTCAAAGAGCATCACACAAACCATATGGGGCTGCTACATCTGTGCTAATAGAAGGCCAATAACAATAAGAAGGATAAGAAAACTTTATTTATATAGTGCATTTCATATACTGTAGGTGACAGATGCACAAAACTAGTTGCACAAAGTAGTAAAATCAAAAACAAGGGATGACAAATAAAATATGTATTTAAAAGTTACTTAAAAATAAGAGTAGATAACAAAAGAACAAAAAAGATGAATGAATTAAATAAAAGAACGTGCTGAAGTTGAACTTTTATGTAAAAGTAAAGCTGACCTGTATTTTTAAGTGGCTTTTACTTTTTTGTATTTTGTAAGATGGTGGGTTTTAATATGTAGCGTGTCTTTAGTTAGCAACCAAACAAAGTTAGAAAAAAATTCACTGGTGTTTTAATAATACTGTGTGACCAGCTGTCCCCTGGAATACATACTGTCTGTTTATTTTCATGTTTTCTCCATGATTCATTGAGGACTTTTAACCTGGGGCCCGTTAGCTTTAGCTTCAGTCTGTTAGCATTATAGCCATCATGTCTAGGCTCTTATATAGATAGGATGCTTTTTACAGTTAGTTGGATTCATTGAAGTCCTCTGGATGAGAAGCTTTCAACCACATACTGTATAGAATAATGCACGTATCTACTGTGATGTCACCCATTGGTTTTGGACTTCCGTTTTGAATCCTCAAGTTCAGCATTTTAGCTGTCGCCATCTTGGTTTTTTGGAGCCAGAAGTGACCGTATTTGGACGAGGGTGGAGGTGTGAAGGAGCAAGGGGTGGATCCGTCGCAGACAGCCTATCGCTCAAGCCACCCTGCCCTTAAATATGCATAACTTTAAGCTTTAATAAAATGAAAACAGTGAAATGGTGAATTCTCATACTCGTACTCGTCGTCCTCCGCTTATCCGGGTCCGGGTTGCAGGGGCAGCAGCCTCAGCAAAGAAGCCCAGACAGTCCTCTCCCCAGCCACTTCCGTCAGCTCTTCCGAGGGAACCCTGAGGCGTTCCCAGGCCAGCCAGGCGATGTGATCCCTCCAGCGTGTCCTGGGGCGGCCCCGAGGTCTCCTCCCGGTTGGACATGCCCGGAAACCACCTCACCTGGCTCCTCTGGATGTGGAGGAGCAGCGGCTCAACTCCGAGTCCCTCCCGGATGTCCTAGCTCCTCACCCTATCACTAAGGCTGAGCCCAGCCACCCTGCGGAGGAAACTCATTTCGGCTGCTTGTACTCGCAATCTCGTTCTTTTGGTCACTACCCAGAGCTCGTGACCATAGGTGAGGGCTGGAACGTAGATCGACCGGTAAATCAAGAGCTTCACTTTCTGGCTAAGCTCCTTCTTCACCACAATAGACCGGTTAAGCGCCTGCATCACTGCTGACGCCAGCCCAATCCGCCTGTCACTCTCCCGCTCCATCCTACCCTCACTCAGGAACAAGATCCCGAGATACTTAAACTCCTCCACCTGAGGCAGGACCTCCCCCCTGACCTGGAATAGCTGATACATCTGCCAGCCAAAGATAATATTTCAGCTGATTAGATTGATGGTTGTCGGCTAGAAATGAGAAGCCTGCAAAACCCAAATTCTGATGGTAAATAAACACCATAAAACCATAAACTAAACATCAACAGTAACTAAGGGGAGCTGGGTTTAATAAAGGGTTAATTAATTAGGAATGTGCCGATCAGATTAGCTGAAATTTGCTACCCAAGATGTTTTGTGTACCCATGTGCCAATAACTGACCCAATCACCAGATGAAATGATACCTTTTAACAAGGATTCCAGCTAACATTAATTTCCCACAGCTCCTCCACGTATTATCCCAACATGCCCCACTCTGCCAGGGAATCAGATTTTTCGAGGGTATCAGCAGCAGCAGGACTGTTGAAACTTGTCTGAAGTATTTCTGACACTTACATGAAAAGAACACGTGAGAAAAAGCCAGCCAGCCTGCCAAGGGGAAATATTCAGCGTGATACCATCACACCACTGATAGACTGTGGTGAAACTGGTTCTGTTTGTGATCTGCTCTGAGCCTCCATGTTGAAACTTGGATGTATAGCAACACCCAAACACACATCCTGCCCAGACACATTTTACAAACGCACCCACACAGTTTTTAGGGTGTTTTTATTTACCTACAGCACAAAGTAAGCTTACCTTACCTTAAATTGGATTAAGGAGGGTTTAGTTTGGTTCATTTGACCTGATGAGGACACAGATACAAAAAACTGTGGAAAACAAAGTATACCAGTACGTCACTGTGAGAACCAGCAACAGGAAAAAATCAATCAGTCCAGTTTATTGCTGTTTTACCATACATCCCTGTGCAGGGCAGAATAAGAGAGAGTGTTTTTCTGGGATCAAGGTGTAACACACATCACAAAATATAAAAGAACACAAACATTTATGTGGCACGACACAGCCCCTGAGTCT